ACATGTATATGAAAATGTACACTATGTGTGAAAAACATATTTATTGCCAATAAAAATGTTCACTAGTTACTTGAAAAATGTTTACCTTGTATTCAAAAAGTAAAACTTATATTTTCAAAACATACATCTTGTACTGAAAAATGTTCAACGTGTATCAACATAATGTTTCACGTCTACACTGAAAATTACATTGTGTACTGGAAAAAAGTAGATATGTGTTGAACAAAGAAATAACCAATAAAAAATTGAGGAAGAAACAAGGAAAACTAATGAAAACCGAAAAATAAGCAAAAGAACAGAAGAAAACCACTGAAAAAGAATGGAAACATCAAAACCAAAGAAAAAACCAAGAAAAAATGTGAAGGGAAAAACCAAAGGAGAATATATAATAAAAGGAAGTCCATGAAAACCGATAAAAAAACAGAGTAAACCGGAAGAAATTATAGAAAAGGAAAGAAACAAAAACAGTTAAACCCCAAAAAAAAGAACATAGAAAACAGCGAGAAAATAAACAAAACAGAAAAATACAACCATAGAAAACCTAACCAAAAACCAGTACAACGATCTCCCAAGCGAGCGAGGAAAAGAAACGAGCAAACCGCTAAATGAGTCGGCCCAGAAACAAAGCGCGAGGGAGTTTATTCAAGCGAGCAGAGCATATATCTCGCTATAACCAAGATATAGCTCTTGCGGCAATTGATGCCCTTTTTTCTTCGCTAGTGTGACCCCCACTGAATTATTATATTTTTTGAAATCATCCATGCAATGTCCCAAATATTGATCCATATGCTTACGTTTAAGTCTATTGTTGCTCTCTTTAAATTTACTTCGACTTGGCAATTGTTGGGTATTTTTGTTACTATGATACTGCTTTGCCACATACATCACTTCTTTCAAACAAGCATTTGTTTCAGATGTGGTTGAATTGACAACATAATTGCCAACTGCTAAAGTTTTTAAATACTCTTTGGCTCTTTTGTGTCGAGTCAATAAATTTGTGTTGTGGCCCCCTACGTTTGTGGATCATCATCTATACATTATTGCATCAATAACAAGTGAGCCACTCATGTTTTGTTGGAATTCCAAAATGCATAGTTTTGTATTTATTGACAAAATGATTGTGAAACTACTTAAAATGGGCTATTTCTTTATATTTTTACCCAGCGTAGTTTTTAAAGAAATACTTGTACTTATAGGATGGTGAGCATTTCCAAAATCTGGAGTTGCCCTAGCATCTTGAGCAATATTCCCTCCTTTCCTTTATGTAACGTGTATTATTTTCAGGACGGTGACCAAGGCACATAATTATAGACTAGTTAGGACGAAATTATCCTTGACAAATTTGTTGATTAGTGCCAAGTAAATCAGTTAGTACAGGAAAGTAACAGATACATGCAATCGATAAAAAGATACTTTTCTTCTTCTGTTACAAGGGGAGATATAGGCAATCAGAAAGTAGATACTTACCTTTTCTGGAGGACTAACAAGGGAATTATAAGGAAATATAAAAAATGCACCTTACATTTTGAAATTTTATCAAAAAACAAATACACCTTATATAAATGAACGGAGGGACTAGGTAACAAGGCAAAATGTGTTGTAACCCATCCAGTGTAAACTGAATTGCATGACACACATCTGGGACCAAAGTTCCTTTCTGTGTGCCACATCGAAGCATCACAAGTCAAATCAATATAGTGTATTACTCCAAGTAAAAAAATGAATTACTCACTAGGTTCTCCAGATTAAAGCTCCATGCTAAATCAAGCAAGCGAAAAGTGTGGAACCTAAGAACTTAAAGCGTGGAGGTCAAACAAGATGCCTAGATTGCTCGTCCTCTCTTAATTCCTTTTTTTTTGCGTGAAATCTTCTGATCTATTCATAAATTGAAAAGGTAGTATAAAGAACACCGGAAGTAAAAAATACATCCAGGTCTGTAGATCGCCTAGCGACGACCACAATCACTGGAGCGAGCCGCGCCGCCGTCTTCACCCTTCCTCATTGGAGCCGGGTAAGCCTTGTTGTAGTAGACAGTCGGAAAGTTGTTGTGCTAAGGCATCATATGACCAACACACCATAATAACAACCGCTGCCGATGCAGAGAAGCGTAGATTGAAAGGATCTAACTTGTAGACACATGAATACAGATGAACGGAGACTGAATCCTGTGAGATCCGCCAGAAATAAACCTCCACGCGCCCTCCGGCGATGCTAGAAACACCACCAGAACTGGGACTATGCGAGGAGAATCTTATTCCATCTTCATAGTGTCGTCACCATCTCGCCACTCTGAGCATGGCACAAACCCTAACAAAAACAAAAAAATCATGAAAAAAAACGAAGCCCTCCACCGGCAAGGCCAGGATCCACCGCGTCTCCATGACCCTAAGACCATAGGAGACGAGATAACCGATGGTGGCACCAACGGGAGGCGGGAGAAACCCTAGCTAGAGGGTCCTCTTTCTTCCATCAATCCTCTCTTAATTCGATGGATTTTTTCGTCTCACACATGATAAATCACCCCGTGATAAGGAAACCATCATGCATAAATTTGATTCGATGTTATAATGATAATTAAAGTTAATATTTATCCTACCAGAGGGCAACATAAAAATTGGACATACTTTGTAAAGAAAAAAATACATGCTTAATAGATAAAAATTATAGTGAAAGTCCCTGGTTTGAAAAGAAAAGGCATGTTTAGGGCACATTTAGATGTGCCTTAGTATTGTACATTTAAACGACTCAATCAAACATAAAGAAGAACAAAAAATACCCACATGAATCTCCACCTAAAATCAATGACCTATGACTTATATGTGCAATGTAGGGCACATCCAGATGTGCTTTGCTTTAGCAAAACCATAAAAAATCACATTAAAATGTATAGTAGAAAATATTAAAAAGTTAGTGCACAGATTACTTCTTGCTCCCCCACAAATGTTCTTGGGTAACAGGCCCCCGAGCCACAAGGCCCAGCAAGATCTGTGACTAACTTTTGCTCCCCCACAAATGAGCTTGGGTGACAGGCTAACGCGACAAAGCCCAGCCACAGTGTTGCAAGAGCTGTCCTTTTATTCCCGTGTATGCGAACTAAATAAGGCGAGGTGGGACTAAAAGTTGTGTCTGCCAACAAATTCAAGGTACTAACGGGCTAAACAAACAACAGCTTCTCCAAACTGAAAGCCCAAGTAAAGAATCTCGCGGCGTGACGGCCCAACGACGACGACGCGGTAAAACGGGGAGGCAAACGCCAAGAGAAGGCTTCCTCCCAAAGCCTTCCAAGCCAGACACACGGCCGCCGCAGCCGAGATGGCCGCCGGAGATGCCACCCACGCGCCGCCGGCCGCGGAGGCGCAGTCTCTGGTGGATTCGTTCTGCGCAGTCACCTCGGCGACCCCCGACGAGGCGACCTTCTTCCTCGAGGGCCACAACTGGGCCCTCGAGGCCGCCGTTCGCTCCTTCTACGACAACACGGAAGTCGACGCCGATGGCCCCGATCCGGCACCCTAGCCCCCGCCAGCCGGTTCGCCTCCGTACTCCTCACCACGCGCCACGGCACCATCGACGACCTCCTTCACACCGGCGAGCTCGCGGTAAGCCTCGATTGCCTGATTTCTCCACTCTCTTAGGCTCGTTTCTTACTGTGATGTTTGTGTTCAGTTAGGCAAAATTGGGGATCGCAAGCAACTTGACACTATCTTATCTCAGCTCAATTTAGTCCGGACCAATAACTTTTTATGTTAAAAAAATTAAGCAAGTTGGAACTGCGTAGAATCGATCAACCTGATCTATACTGGATTTAAGTGCTGAATTTTACTGGATTCAGTTGCCTTCATAGTTACACTTTGACTTCTCGGAAAAGAAAAAAAACACTTGCTCGGTGGTTTCTTGACAGGGTCCGTTGGCCTAGATGAGATTATCTAGAAATCCAATAATTGGGCTGGCTGACATCTATAATTAAGTGATCTCGAGTAGTATCATGTGAGAAACAGCAAAGCTAGTTAGGTGTGACGTGATTCACTCTGCTGGGTGCTGGCGATCAATCTGTCGCTGGGCCTGAAAATGGGACTTCATTGCTAATTGGGGCGCCATCGTTGTAAAGGTACAAGTAGGGCCATGAATCAGTGATAGTGCCTTATTGAGATCACAAACCAAAGGGGGTTGGAACAGTGTATATAAGGTGTAGAGCTCCTGTAGTTTTCAGATTTTGTCATAATCGCAAACAGTGACCTCTATACTGTATTAACAAATATAACATGATTACAATTCAAAAAAAAAATCTAATATGGTTAGAAGTTCTGGTTTCAGGGGCACTTCAGCTATTTTGGAAGCACCACAGTATTTAGGCCAACATAAGCTGATATTCAGAAGAATCACACTTTATCTGAGATTATCTAGAAATCCAATAATTGGGCTGGCTGACATCTTTAATTAAGTGATCTGGAGTAGCATCATGTGAGAAACAGCAAAGCTAGCAAGGTGTGACGTGATTCACTCTGCTGGCCACTGATCTGTCGATGGGCCTGAAAATGGCACTTCATTCATTTCTGAATGCTAATTTGTGCGGCATCTTTCAAAGGTGTGAGTAGGGCCATGAATCAGTGATCTTATTGGAATCTCAAACCGAAGGGGGTTGGAACTGTGTATAGGAGGTGCAGAGGTCCTTTAGTTTCAGATCTTTTCATAGTCGCAAACAGCGACCTATGTGACATTAACAAATCTAGCAGATCATTACAAGTTCTAGTTTCAGTGTTACTTGCTTCGGCTATTTGGCAGCACTACTGTATAGGATAAGATGCTACTTAGGAGCAGCTAAACTCAAAACAGATATATGTGGTAAACTTACGGCATTTTGAACTGAAAAACGGTGAAAGAATTAAGAATTTTCGGACACATGTTACTTACATTGTCTCAGCTCTGCATACTTGGCAACATTTCCAAATACTGGTCCTAATGTATCTTCATGTTTAATTCTGCAGCTATGTTCAGTGGTGCTAATGTCCGGGCTCATCATAATCCTGAGCAGCGCCGCCAAGATCACTCACCAGGTGCAGGCCCTCATGGGCCAGACCACCAAGTGGCACGCCTGCTGCACCATCGAGCCGGTCCCGGACGACGAGATAGATCCGGGATCCAACCAGAACTCCATGCTGGAGGAGTACCCCGAGCCCGAGGACGAGAGCGACTGTGAGTCCAGCGAGGAGACCCGCGACGAGGACATGGTGGAGAACACCAAGTTCCTCCAGCCTCACATGCACGTGATCTCCTTCCAGAAGAGGCAGGCACTAGGTACGTATGATCATCGACAGTTATCATACATTTCGTCGAATCTTGGGGCTGATGGAAAACGCTGTTGCAGTGACCTTCCTGGAGAACAACAACGCCGGCATCACCGTCTTCGGGTTCACGCTGGACCGGTCGTACCTCCACACGATATTCATGCTCGAGTGGACGTTCTTCCTGTGGCTGCTGGGGAAAACAGTCGGCTTCTCGTGAAGACGAGGGACTGTATGCACCAAGGTTCTATTCTGTTCCATGTTTTTTTGCTGTTGTGCTCCGTTTGATCCTTGTGTGAAAAGAGAAGGAGTAGGGTTTTTTGTGTGCGCGTGCGGGTGGCACGTGAGTGGTGTGCACTTGTTCGTGTGTGTATGCTAGCAGCGATTTGGTATGCTGATGATCCTGTAAATTATCATGGGTTGATTGCATGTGGATGTAAGGTCTATGTACAGTGGTTAGAGCATCTCTATCTAGCAGACCTCGTAAAAGGGCCGAACCCGTATAATTCCGGCGAGTATACGGGTTCTGCTCGTTTTTCTAGCCAGAGTAGACACCGTATCCGTGGCCTGGCCCGTATGGCCCGCAAAAAGTCTCTCCCCACTGCTATATATGCGGTTTCACTGCTCGGATACGGGTCAAACCTCGTAAAAGGGCCGAACCCGTATAATTCCGGCGAGTATACGGGTTCGGCCTGTTTTTTTGGCCAGAGTAGACACCGTATCCGCGGCCCGGCCCTAAAAAATTTACTGTGGCCCGCAAAAAGTCTCTCCCCACCACTATATATGCCCCACTGCTATATATGCGGTTTCACCGCTCGGATACAGGTCAAACCCTATCCGCCTTCGCCGCCGCTCCGCTGCGATTCCCCTCCTCCGCCCAATTTCTCGCCGCAGGCGAGCCTGAAAAAGCCATGGATTGCTACGGGAGCTCTGGGGATGACACAGAGCATCGCGCCAGATCCGACGCCGCACGCAAGCGGGGCGCACGGAGGTGGCTCAACCGCGGTAGCCGGTCGCCGCCAACGTTTGAACGCCGCGAGCTGGTCGAGTTCGAGCGCAAGCTTGCCCGCCGCCACCACGCTTCATTCGGCTCCTCTGCCGCAGAGAGCTTGTCCGCGGGCGCCTCGAGCTCGTGGCTCAGTCCGATGAAGAGAGAGCCGGAGGAACTCGGGCCGCTCGCCGTCAAGCTCGAGGCCGAGGCGCCGCCGCGTCGAGGAGTGATTGACCCCAAGGACTACCTCCCCCCGGGGCAGGAGGAGCACCTAGAGCGTGTCGTCATGGAGCGGTCGGCGAGGGAGCGGGAGGAGGGCGAAGTGCGCCGCCGACGCGAGCTCGAGTACGAGCAGATGTTCCCCAGACGGGTGTTGCGGCGTTGCAGGTCCGCCTCCATGAAGGTGGAGCAAGCCAAGTTCTTCATCGACCTCGACCCCTCCGACGAGGACTTAGCTCCTCCGGCTCCTCCGCCGTGCCGTCGCTGCCGCGAGCTCATCGATTTTTTGTATCTAGGCTCGGGCCCACAGATTCCCCCACTAGTATGATCAATGTAGATGAACTAATGTATGATCAATGTCGTTGCAAGTTTCTCTGGCGAATGCTTTTCTTAAAATTTTATAGTTTCATATACGAGGTCTGATCTGCAGCGCACGAATTCAATCCGCAAATCTCATCTGTCTGTAAACATAATTTGCGGGTCGGCATTATACGAGGTCCGCTAGAGATGCTCTTAGATGGGTGCTGTAGAGATAGCCTCGTGCATCGCAGGTTGGCATTGCAGGTTTATAATCTCGGGTTGTAACTTGTAAGCCAGCATCAGTTGTAGAGCAGGTGTGTCAAAAAAAAACTCTTTCCTTTATTTATTTTTGAACCGAAAACCGTAGAACAATTGTTCTATGGTATATTTTCATTAAAATAAAATAAAAGTATGTTACGAGGGGATCAAAAGATCCCTAAATACAAGGAAAACTTAGTCAATTCCTGCTCTTGGAAGCATTAGAGCTGATTTAAAACATGTTATCTAGCCACTGTTTGAAGCTTTGAAAGTGCTTCGCCTTTAGCTTGTGCTGTAGGAGCTTCTGATCTTGCTTGAGGTGAAAACGCCAAAAATGTACCGTATGTGGCAGACCTCTGAAAACTTTCCCATTTCTCTTATTCCAAGTATTCCAACATCCAAGAATAACTATTTCTGTGGCAAATTGTTGTGGAAGTTTTTCTATCGCCAGTAGTGTTTCCTCGTACATTGAAGTACCTCTTGCCTTATGGAAATTAGAGTGTTCCAACAATCCTGTGCAAAATTACAGTCCCAAAGCAGGTGAAGGGTTGTCTCTTCAGCATTCTGATTGTAGTTTCGGCAGTGAGGATTGTTCAGTTGCATGCCTTTTCTCTGTAGGAGTGATCTGGTGTTGATTCTACTGTGGGCTACTAACCAGAAAAATATCTTATGTCTGAGTCTGCTAGAGCTCTTTCAAGTCAACTTGAAGATAGGGTGTACCTCCTCATTACCCATTAGGTGTTTGTACATGTGCATTGAAGAGTATTTATTTTGAAGGCCATTGCAAGTCCATTTATCCTTCCCATATCTGTCCGGAGAGGGGATAATATCCCCCAAGTTGAATGAATTGATTGTAGGCTGTGTTGGATAAAGGAGTGTGGAACTGTTCAATCCAGCTTCCAGAGTCACAAAATTCTTGGACAGACAAGGAGCCCCTAATAGCAAAAGAGTGCAGCTCTCGGAAATTTTGTTCCAATATATCTCCTTCCTCTTTCCTTTATTTTGGTTCTACCGGCCTTCTGTTATCCTCAAGAAAATGATTTGTGCTCCATATATCGATATGAATCCTATGGGATATGATGGTATTTCATATTCAGTACAAATATAATAGTCGAAGCATTGCAATGCAGGTGAGGGTGGTACATCTAATAGTGCTTTTTTTGTGTGTGTGTTAGTGTTGCTTGTGTGCATCCTAACTATGCAGAGGCCAGATATGTACTCATGCTTGTATCCACTTGGTGCTTCATTTTTAAGTTATAAAATTCATCCGTTGTTGAAAAAAGAATCAAAGCTCACTCAAAGTGATGCTACGGATTGGCCCACTTTCCAGTATTTGCATATGGCTCTTTCTGTATAATGTGTCCTCGTGGCGATTGATGGGCGCATCCATATCCCGTTTGAGAGCTCCTATGCAACGCTTTAGGCGCCAAAAAGGATAGCTGGCGCTTGCTAGCTTTCTTCACAGGCCGCAGCCCAATAAGGCCACCTCCCTCTCGCGCCTGCTCGGTTTATGAAGTTTGCTGGTTTTCTTTCGTTATTACTTATAGTACGACCTTTCCCTAAAAGAAACTTACAGTATGATCTAGTGTACTACTTCGTGTGTCCCGACTGCGACAAGCAAGTCGGGATGGAGGGAGAACTTGCCTCAAAAAGAAAATAAAAACTACAGTCCTACATGGCCAGCGGTTTTTATCTACTATACCACATGGCCAGCGGTTTTCAAATGATATGAATAAAACTTCATGAATCGAGAAAAAGTTTATGGTTTGAAAAAAGTCATTTTTAGTTTTTTTTAATTTAAAAGAAATCATGAAATTTTTAATATATAATCATGAATTTCAAATAAGTTCATGACATTTAAAAAAGTTCGTAAATACTGAAAAATTCATAGATTTTGAAACAATGTAAGTGGATTCGGAAGAAGTTCACTAATTTAATAAAGTGCTAGATTTGAAAATAGTTCATGAATTTCGGAAAAGAAGTTCATGAATTCAAAAAAAATCATGAGTCTGAAAAAACTTCACCAATTTTTAATAAGTGCGTGGACTTCAAAATGTTAACAATATTTGAAAATTAGTTCACGAATTTTACAAGATTTCAATTTTTTTTTGGAAAACTTCATGAAAATTGGAAAATTTTCATATTTTTTAGATAAAATCACAAATTTGGAAAAACTTCACGGGTTTTTAGAAACTTCATAAAAACTAAAATGAATTTGTGAATTTGAAAAACATTCACGCATTTGACAAAAGTTCACGAATTTGAAAAAGCTCAGGAATTGAAGAAATAGTTTATGATTGAAAAAAAGTTCACAGATTTTGAAAATGGGAAATAAAGAAAAAGGAAAAAAGGAAGAAAAACTAGCCGAAACAAAACCGAAAAACATGTGTCTTCTAGGCGCAAAACATGAAACAAAAGAAGTATTATTAGGCACAATAGGTGAGTCGTCTGTGTCAGTTACTATGTTCGGAAGGAAACCTTGAGGTTCCTCCTTTGAATCTCACTACCTGCAACATTTTTGTAGATTCAATAAAATGGGCCAAGCCCAGGATGCAAGGGGGTGTGCATCGGTTTGTTGAGTTGCCTTTAAGCGTCGGGGTCTCGTTTGTAGGGAGACCGTGAGATGGGCCGGCCTAGGCGCGTGCGATGCCAGAACCCCCTTTTTCTTTTCTTTTTCTTTTTGACTCTTATACTCCCAAATATTCTAAAAATATATTTAAAAAATAATGCGTCAAAAATTGAAAAATGTAAATCAAACATGGGAAATGATTAGCTTCAACCGACTGATCTTTCATTGCCCATCCGCTTCCTCACGCTTGCGACGCGTGTCCTTATGGGACCAGTTCGTTCTTATCCTCGCGCCAATGTCCACGCCTCTCATTCCTGAAGCTTCTCGGTGGGATCGTTTTCTTCTCCTTTCGTCCACCCCGTCTGCTTCCATCTCCCCCCACTCTCTCTCCTTGAGCCGGCGCTGCTCATCCATCTCTCTCATCTCCCCTCTCCTCCATACTATGCTGCTGCATCGGGGACAAGCCTCATGCATGGGACATACCTTGTTGACCAGATCCATTGCATGCCTACTTCAAGGCTCCGGCGTTGTAGGCTAGGCCCCGGATGTTACATGCCTGTGTTACTCACCGTCGAGATTTGGATGAAATTTACTACATGATACTACAAGTGCTTCAGGCGGAATTTTCGCAACAAAGGTCTTGTTGCAGGAATATGGAGCAGAGGTCGCAGATGATGTAATTTTTGGAACAAGGAATACATAGAAGTTTTTTTTTTGCAACAATGGTCTTGTTGCAAGAGTGCATAGATGAGGCCGGAGATGTTGTTGCAATTTTTGCAACACGGATCTTGTTACAGGAATCTAGAAAAGATGCCGGAGATATTCTTGCAATTTTTGCAACAATGATCTTGTTGCAGGAATACGACAAAGGGAACAAGGATTA